GTATAATATTAAAATATTTATGGGATTGTCGTGGCTGTTTGACCACCAATTCCTTCTCTATCAATAATCCATCTGGATTAAACAAAGCTCAGTTTTATGAAGGTAGAAAAGGTTTTCAGTACTTAAATATCAAAGTTATTTTGGGAATTTATTTTAAGAAATTACCAGGCATATTAATGGATGAATTTAAAGACATCACTTGTCCCAAGTAAGGTTGTGGGAAAAACTCTTCCAGAAATCAATTGACAGAGTTTTGACAGTCATTAAGAGGTTTCAGCAAGCAACCTTAGTCCCAAGCCAGTACAAAATGTAATTGAATAATTTTTATACTAAATAAAAAAAGTGTTAGACGACACAATTAACTTTTATTTCTTTTAATCTTTACTATTTTAATAACTGAAATAACTAGGAGTATTCCACAGCTACCATTCAGTAAACTTTCTCTCTCTTATTCTTATTAAGCTGGCTTTCTAATTCAACCCAAGGAGTCTTATTCATTTTTTATATTAAGCCTCAGATTATGGAGTTTTTCAGCAAGATGTTCATTTCCCATAGTTTTGCCTTTTTAATTGGCCTATAATGCCTTCAGTATTCAAGTTTAGGAAACAAATTTATTGTGAACTCGGATTCACCTCTTTTCCTTTTTAATGTTTTACAAGTTCTTCTCCAATCTGAAAGTCATGAAAGTCCAGGGTGTTTTCAAATTTTTGCATAAGTTCTTGTAACAGTTCACCAATTTGGTTTCATGTTTCTTGGTCAACAGCATTGATATTATTAGGAAAATGATTTTTGGTAGAGATAGCTGTATACCCATAGTTTACTTTATTATGCAGTTTGGCAATCACCTTATTCTGTTCAGCAATAATATTGTTTTGGTTTGGTCAGCAAGGCTTTTTTAGCTGATTCTATTTGTTCAGGTGTAGCTAGTTTGTAAGCTCCTTTGGACCCAGTAACTCCATAGACTTATTTGCACTTGCATATAGAAGTGGGGTGAATTTTGGCCTCCTAATCTTCCTACTCCAAAACTAAACCAGTACCTCATCAGTTTATATTGCTCATCTATTTTATTAAATCTGCTCACTCTTGTCCATAAATTAAATTATTTGCATGATGTTTGGTGCAGATTGCTGCATAAGCTTTTGAGTTTGCTCTTAATACTAGACCAGAAAAAACACTTGCTCCAAATCAGAAAGTCAACTTTTAAGCATGTCTTTTTTGTGCACTTTCACATTATCACACGAGTGATAAATATTTCCTCTGTTTCTTTGCTCCTGGTACACACACATAATTAGGTGTATTATTCTTTTTTCAAGTAAAGTTTGCCCCTTCCAATTTTCTTTTGGCAATTATAGCATGTGAACATTTGTGTCCTCTACTGTCTTCATAAGCTGTAACATATCAATCTAAAATTATTTTGCATTGTGGACTACCAAGTAGTTACTCTATCATATCTGCCTTGACCATAATTATTTCTTTTTCTTTTTCTCCATGGCCAATTAAAGTTTTCTTTGTTTTTAACCTTTGCTAAAGTTTCATTCCTTTCTCAGTCAGCAATATTATGTCTGATTCTTGTTGGATTAGATCTTGAGAACAGTCTCAGCAGCAAAATTTAATGATTTCTCTATCTTCTTAATCTCATCAATTAATGGTTAAACCTTCTTTTATATGTGGCAACAGTCACATTCACTTCATTGACAGTTCTAATTAGTATCCAAATTTTCTTTTTATCTAAATTTTCTGATATTTCCGAAATCATGATTTCAATAATCAATGCATATGTATGCTAAAATCATATGAACTGTTGACAAAATGACTGTCAACGAAATGAACTGTTGATTAAATGAACAAAATGAACTGTTGACGAAATGAGCTGCTAACAAAATGAACTGTTGACGAAATGTGTGTCAATGGAATGATTGTGTCAAATGAATCAGATTCTGTGGCAATTAAACCATTCTTTTTTAGTCATGATTACTTATTAATATATTAAGTTTTAGTGAAAAAAAAAAGCAAAATAACTATTTAAAAATAAAGGGAACATTATATAGTAAGAGTGGAACATTAGTATTGTGTTCAGAAATATCATTAATAAATAATAAAGATAAAATAGATAGTAAGTTTGTATTAAATTTTTTTGTCCACATAAAAAATTTTGTTAGAAAATGGATGGTTTTTCCATACATTTTCCGTGTATTTTGTATGGAATATGTACGGACTTATACATGAAAAGAATGCTTTTCTGTACATATTCCATGCATTTTCCATGTATTTTCAGCGCATTTTCAGGGCAAATATGTATTCGATACAGAATATGCGGAAAAAAACATACATTTTGTGACAATTTTTTATAGGGTTTAGTCTCTTGTATTGTAATGGTATATCCTCATTCTTTCTTCTTGATAAATCTCATATGTGTTTCTTTCTTTTCTTTGATAAACCTCAAGGCCTGAGTATCATTTATTTGAAAGTGTAAGGAGCGATTTTTTCACTTGTTTTTCTTCAAAACGCTTCTAATGCTGTAATTCTTGGGTTCCATAGTAGATGAGTTTCATATTAACTATTTTTGTTTAGACAAATTTCATAATCACATTCATTAACTATAAATTACATTTGGTAATACAGTCGTGATGTTAAAATTTTTAATTTTTTGATCCCTGAAATCATTGGTAATACCAATGTTCACACTGTTTTGTTGCAGTATTGCAAATTAAAAAAAAAAAATTTTTTTTTTTGAATTAAATGAATTAAATTAAATTTAATATTTAACTAACGTTACATACATATACATATATATTAATATATTTCTCCCATAATTATGACACTTCCAATTACAGCAGATAATGACAATATTGATACTACTACTTCTCCAGAACTTGATGTTATTAAGAAACATCACGGAGAGATTATTTATGAACCTAATGGTTTTGTTGCCAAGATCTATAGAAAAGATAGTCAACTTAACAGACGTACTGTAAATACATATATTGATATGTGGAAGGGAGACAAAAAAGACCTATCTAATAAAGGGGAAACTGTTATAAAAAGACGCGATAATGCACAAATTATGACAAATGCATTTTATGACATTGTTACTGATTTTTATGAATATGGCAAGTGCCAAATTTTCGTTTATAAAAAATAATAATAATGATTTTTTGGGACATATCACTTGTGATGACGCGTTGTCATGATTATTTTTATTTATTTAAATTAATATTTTTGATAATTAAAAAAGGATGGGGCGAATCTTTTCATTTTGCGCGTGCATATAAAGGTGATACCTTTGAACAATCCATTAAACGCCACGAACAATTTTTATCTTTAAAACTTGGATCAACACCAAAACATAAAGTTATTGTAAGAAAATGTTCATTTTTTTGGAAGTTTCGATAATTAATATTGCTTTTTCTTCAAATCACACGCAACTCATAATTAAAACTTTAATAATGATTATTTATATGTAAAAATTAGGATATAGGATGTGGAGTTGGTGGTCCTCTTCGTGAAATTGTTAGATTGTCTGGAGCACACGTTACCGGAATTAATAATAATGGATATCAAATTGAAAGATGTAAAGCATATTCAAAGAAACTTGGCTTGGAGAATTTGACTGATTTTGTCAAAGTGAGCTTTTTAAAAAATTTTAAAATTAAAATAATACATTTTATCATCACTAATATAAAAAATTTTTTTTAAAAAAAAAGTGTGATTTTACAAATATTCCACCAGAGTTGGATGGGAAATTTGATTCAGCTTATGCTGTTGAGGCAACAGTTCATGCACCAAAACTTGAAATGGTTTATGGTGAAATATTTCGTACATTGAAGCCTGGTGGTCTTTTTGCCAGTTATGAATGGGTTATCACTGATAAATATGATGAAAACAATCCTGATCACAAGCAAATTATTCATGGAATTGAGGTTGGTATAATTATAATTACAAGTATAAATCTTTATTTATAATATTTATTTAAATTGTAAAACAACTCTTTTTTTTTAATAGGAAGGTAATTCTGTGCCAGCCTTAGGTTCTTACAGTAAAGTGCTTGAAGCTGCCAAAAATGTCGGTTTTGAAGTTCTTGAATATGAAGATATGGCTGTTTTAGATGATTCTCATGAACCATGGTATAGCACTTTGAAAGGAAGTTTTTCATTGAATGGTTTTAGAATGACTCGTCTAGGAAGATGGTACTTTATAACTATTCTTATATATCTTATCTATAAATTATAATAGGATTTGCATATTATATTAGTTAAAACGATTAAAATTTATTTTGATTTTTTATTTATTTTTTATAGGACTACTCATAAATTTGTTTTTCTCCTTGAAACTTTACGTATTGCACCACCAGGGTCAACCGATGTCTCTCTTTTTCTTAATAATACCGCTGATGCTTTGGTTAGAGGAGGAGAACTTGAAATTTTTTCTCCGATGTTTTTTGTATTATTTAGAAAACCTCAATAATTAATTTAATATATATATATTATATTTTTTAAAATCTGGGAAAGAAAGCAATCAATTATTCATAATATAAAGAAAATAAGGAAATAAGAAGAAACAATTTAAATTTTATTTATTAGTATTAATATTATTAGATTTTAAACACTTTTTATTTATTTATTTATTTTAATATTTATGATATCATGCTTTAATTTATTTTTTTTTTAAAAAATTATTATATTATAATTTAATAATCTCTAATTTGTATAATCAAATTTGTAACATTAATTTAAAAAATTACCCTTTACTTTTTTTTACAATATAATTTATTATATTTATTATGTGTTAGTCATTCATACAATCAATACCGTTCATTTTATTTCGAATTTCACCACCAAACTGATGTCCTATATCTGATATCTGGTATTAATGTGATGAATAGTCTTCATATCCTCTATTTTATTAAATTTGTTAATAATTTATCTAATTTGTAATAATTCAGAACCATTTAAATAGTTTACAATCTAATGATGAAAATATAAAAATCGGGGAGGGCAAGATATATGATTGTTGTTACAGTTGGTGCAATATCCATCAAGTTGTGAGTCAGTTGGTGATGATTGAGTTTGTAGTTGTGATGATGATAATGGTAATTGTGAAAAGGATGACTATGATTGAGGTTGTGACAATGATTGCGATGAAGATGATGTTTTTGCCATCATTTCAGCCTCGTTTTTCTTTTTAATTTTGTCATAATATCTAGTGTTATAATCTTGTACTAATTTGTGTGTAAAATTTCCAATCAATAATAAATCTGATTTATATGCACCATCATCTTCAATTTTATTTGCAAGCTCCATTTCATGGAGCCAAAACAATCTAATATGTGAATCGAGGGTTTCTGATTGGTTATTTGCTACAGTGAAACTTTCATTTCCAAGCACTTTTTTTTCATTTTCAACAGATATATATAAAATATCCATCACACTTTTTTTAATTTCATTCAACATTTTATCATTATTTTCTTCTTGCTCCCCCTCCCTCATCTTCTCGTCGCCTTCTCTCTTTTCCACATTTAAATTTCTCTTTTTTTCATTTTTAATTAAATCACCTTTCCCCATCCATTTGGGTATTGGAAGTTGAAAAACACTTTCTTTGTCAATTTTTAAAACATCCTGTTTGATTTTTAATCCTTGCTTTGTAGCGTCAACAAGTTGTGCACACATTTGTGCAAAGTATATGGATCTTGGATTCGATAATCCATATTTATTTGAATGCAATCGGTGAAACCAATCGTACAACCCAAGCGGAGGATCTGATAAATAAATATAAAGGATGACCTCTTGTAATTTCCTGGCTCTAGTAGACGGTTGTTTATAACGAGATAACACATCTTGTAATCTAATATTATTTTTCTCAAATGCTTCCTTAACGTTTGGATCCAATGGTAACAAAAGTGAGTTTTGAAATGGAGTTACAATACGTGGATCCCAACAGCAAAAAATCTATATATTTATAAATTTGTTAATATTTTATACACAGTGAATCTCGATATAGCGGATATCTCGGTTTAACGGATTTTTGGAAAATGCTAATTACCCAAACTATCCGCTAAATCGAGATTTACTGTGTATTAAAAAAAAATTATATAATATATGTATGCACATGTTATGTTATATACATAAACATACCTTATCTCCGTCATAATCACCACCGCTCAAATGATTTGCTAAGGAACCTTCTCCTGGTTTAACATTTATTGGGAATATTACCAAATTGTAATAATTTTTCAGGTATTGATTCTTGACAGCCTTAACCTTTATAATGTCTGATGGAAGCAAACATGGATTCCTTGCCAAAATCACATATCCTTCGATCACACCAAAAGGTAGGCCGGTTCTAGGATCTATACCTGCATACTTATCCAACTGAATAAATATTTCACCCGGCTGTAATGTACCACTAGGATCAGCTATGCAAATCAACGTTCTTGATAATGGAACTTCAATCTTATACTTATTTATTAACGGACTTAAAGTATAAATTAAAACATCTGTCAATTTTTTTGCAAGGAATGCACAACTGGATGGGGTAAAACCAGCACTGAGAAGTTGAATACATTGTTCATAATTCGACTCAGGCACCCCTGAAAGTTCTTTTAGCTCTGTCTCAAAATTTGTAAAATCCTCTTGGTTAGTTATTTCTGGTGATATATCATCATCATTATACATGTATTTTTCATTTATCCTTCTCTTAGTTATATTACCAACATCATGCAGCCAAGATATCAGTTCATGTCGATTTTCATTACCAATCACTTTCTCTTTTATTCTTGATATGTTTTCTTTAACTATCTGTATGAAAACGTTTGCACTTAAACCTCCATTTTCTAATACCCTAATAAATTGTATGTTTAGTAAACCTGGTGTTTTTGGAGATTTTACGACATTAATAACTTCCAAAGTCCTTAAATGTTCATCATTTCCAACCCTGTGAGGCCTCAATTGATATTTTATCTGACTTTCCCGAAGCTCGATCCATACACCATTATCATTATCATGACCTTCTTGTGGTTTTAAATACCAAACACCTTTAGAGCCTCCTATTCTACCTTGAATTGCAGGCGGTGTTTCCAAGTATCCCAACATCAAGGCAACTTTTTTCATTGCTGCTAATGAAATTGCAGAACAGCCATCTGTCATGCAATGACCGTTCTTTATAATGTCATCAACATTATATCGAATCTCATGCGGTTGAAAAACAATTGTTGGTTTAGTGTTGGAAAGGCCTAATGATACTCTGGAGTAGAACTTTGAAATTGTTAGATCATGATTTAACTCCATTGGGATATTGAAGTCGATAACTTCCCATAGTGATTTTGGTTCTAAGTCTATACCATGTGTTGCAAAATAATAGAATATCTTATCTTTTGCATAAAAAAATTCGTACCTCCTCTCAAACAAATTTAATGGACATAATAATTGAGATTGAAGCTCTCCATCGAAATTGTCTGTTTCAACTTTTATGTGTAAAAATCTATTTGAGGAATATAGTCTATAGTATCTTTTGGAAACTCCAATTTTTGGTGGATTCAAATGTATCACCAATTTTCCTTTGCATGGAACCACCTTTGCACTATATAGTATATGCGACGGCGACGACGATGATGATTTAGTAGTAGAAATATCAATTTGTTCGTCCTCCCATAACTTCCAAACATTTTGATTTCGTGGAAGCAATCTACTTATTTCTAAAAAGGGATTTATATTTTGACTTTTACAATACTGTTGACAAATTACTCTAAAGTACTCATTTAATTTAAACCCGTTACTACCGCCACAGTTTGTTTTAATATATTCCCATATGGAAAAAGTGGGTTTAATTGGTCCAAATGGTTTCAGTATTCTTGAAATTTCATAGACCATTAAAAAAGATAATTTATTATTATTACCACTGTATAAATGATGTTGATATTCTTTGGTTGCCTCTTCTGTAGATGTAAATTCGGGTGTTACCCATGCTGACGATAGAGGCTTTTTTTCAACAAATTTTGGTTTAAATTGTTGTTTTCCATTATTTATCGACATCTTAGCAATGTAATCTGTTTCTATTTTATCATCAAAATCTTCTAATTTATCACCCAATTCGTCAAATCCATTATTATTACTATTATTATTAATTTGAAAACAAGCCTGTTCCAATGCTCTACTGAAAGCATCTTGTAATTTTAATATACTGTTTTGTTTTTTTATTTCCCTGTAACTTGATTTACATTCCGATACAAATCTAATTACCAATTGTTCCAGGACTTTATCCTCATCTAATTTAACTATTTTTTTCATCAATTTGTCATGTTGCTCTGTCACAAAAAAATTTTTTTTGGTACTGGTGACATTATATAAACTACATGCAAATAATTCTAACCCATTTTGTAATTTTTTAATCAATATAACATCATTATTGTTCATTTTTCCTATAAAAAAAAATTTTTATTAGTATATACTATTGAAAAAAATTCAAGATAAATCTTGGATTTTAATTGGTTAGTAATAAATATAAATAGGTGATACAAGGTTTATTTCTTAAAGCGAAGAAAATATGGCGACAATTTCGATTTTGGCACCTGAGCTTTTAAGCGAAATAACAAAATATGTTGAAGAAGATTATAATACACTACATTCATGTGTTCTGGTTAATAAACATTGGCACAACATTAGCATTCCAATTTTATGGAGAGATCCCTTCTATTCTGAAAACAGCACCAAAGTAATAATCAAGTGTTTATCAGTAGAAGACAAAGATTTCCTAACAAAAAACAACATTGAATTAAAGTTTGAACTGTTGGAGAACAAACCACTACACAACTATGTAAAGCTTACTACTGAATTAAATTTTACGGGTATAATTGATTTAATTCCAAAAATAATGATGTTTGATGATGTCAAGGTTAAAATTTTAATTAAAAGATTGGTAAACTTTATTTTAGACTATTCTGTGATCAAAAAAATCAATCATTACAGTAATCCTGATTATATTTGTGATTTAATAGTTAAACATAACAGATTTGACACTTGCTTTAAAAATCTTTATAAATTCAGTTTTAGCAATTGCACTCACACTAGTTACATTCATGTTGTTAGTAGATTAGCAAAAATTTGCGAAAATATCAAATCTTTAGAGATAACATATATTAGATGTTTAAATGATAATAAAGAAGCTGATAATTGTGTAACTCAATTAATTAGAGCACAAAATCAAATAAAAAGTTTGGTTGTTAATTCACACCATGATTATTATTTAATATTTACAACTGAATTAAAAGAGGCATTGTCAAATCATTCAATAAGAATTACTTCATATACCAGCAATGGGGAGAACAATCTAAATTTTTTAATACCAACATTTCAAAATATAAGGTTTTTATCAATATCTGATTATGTAATGAATCCAAAAAATAATAAAATAGATTATTTGGAATCTAGTTTATTTTCACACATTGAAACTTTATGTATAAGGTTAATTAGCCAGTCATTTCTCTTTAAACTATCAGCTTTTATTATCAGTAATGGAAATGGTCTTAAACATTTAGAAGTTGGTGGTTCACCAATGGATGAGAATCAGTTGATTGAACTCCTAAAGTCAATTGAACAAAAATGTCCAAATTTAGAAGATTTAAAAATTTTTTTTAAGAGAGATACCAATGAAAATTTTATTGAATTATTCAAGAATTGTGTTAAATTGAAACAAATTACATTTAGATATTTAGGATATTTAGATTCTGGTGCTGGTGATAATATAATTAAAATATTAAATGAGTCATTACCAAAAAATTTAACAAGTATAATCATT